CTTCGCCAGTATGCTGTTGGTAGGAACATTGTACCCAGCTATGATTAGTGAGTTTTACATGGGTTTGGTTCCATCGTCCTTGATATTTAGAACAGTCATACGTATGGCAGCTAGGGTGATCATAGCAGTCAAATCCTAGAGATAGAGTCCAGTCACATCGGCTTTTGCCCACATACACCCCTTCTGGTTTTGTTCGGTTGAGACAAAGGATCCCTACTTCAGAGGAATAGAGTCGCCAAGGGCTACTATCCTCAGTCCAAACTTCTGTTCCTTTGTGGACTATACTTAAATTACTAATCCACCATTTAGCTTGCACGGGCTGGGCTACCCAAGGCCATTCATCTAATTCCCCTGGGCCTCCGCACACCCAACAGTTACTGAGGTTAAAGGACTCTGCTATGGTCTCCCCTAGCTGTAAAAACCTATTCTCCCAACCATAATAGTGGTGGAAGCATATAAACAAAGATATTAGCAGCAATTTCATTATCTTTTTCTAAACAGTCCCTTTAGTCCGTCCAAGTACTGGTACTCCCAGGTAGAGTCTTCACCTGTGCCACCCCGGGCGTCCGGAGCCGGGGTGGGCAGAGGGCCGGTGTCCTCTTCTGCTAGTTCAGTCTCCGGGCTAGGGCTCAGAAACCGCTTTACCCGCGTATGGTGAGTCCATTTGTCACTCCCAAGAACTTTAACTGCCGCCTGGCTGATGAGCGAGACAGTGTGCGGGCCGTCCCACCGTGGTGTAAGGGGGTCACGCTTCCACTTCTTGACAAGGACCTGATCACTGATCTGGAACGGGTGCACGGGCTGATCCAAGGGAAGGGCCTGAAAAGGCACTGCGTATCGATGTAGCTGTAACAAGACAGATTGCAGCCCAGAGACCTGTTTCCATAAGGAGGACTTCCCCATTTCCCAGTTTACATCCTCCTGGAACCCCGGGATAAGGATTCGGGGAGGGAACCCGAAGACCAGTTCAAAGGGTGAAAGCTTAAGACCCTTACGTGAGGCCCTCCAAATGCGGGTAAGGGCGAGCGGTAGCGCATCAAGCCACTTTAAACTAGACTCTGTGCATAGTTTAGTGAGGGTATCCTTGAGAGTTCTATTCATTCTTTCTACCTGACCCGAGCTTTGCGGCCTCCAGGGGGTATGCAACTTCCATTGTATACCGGGTGCCTGGGACACCTGTTGGACCACTTGTGAGGTAAAGTGGCTTCCCTGATCAGATTCAATCGTTTCGGGGAGATGGAATCGGGGAAGTATTTCATGCAACAGGGCCTTAGTAACAGCCCAGGCCTGGCAATGCCGGGTGGGGTAACACTCTACCCATCCAGTAAGCTGGTCCACAAATACGAGTAAGTATTTATAGCCCCTGCAAGGGGGCATTTCTGCAAAGTCAACTTGCCACTTTTGGAAAGGGAATGTGGCCCAGGGCCGGCCTCCCATTGGGGCGGGAGGGCCACATCCCTTTTGGTTGGTTCGTTGACAAACAGGGCAATTGCTAACAATTCTCTGGCCTGAAGCTGTGATAAATCCTCTCTCTCTCCACAGGGTCCCGTGAGCATGTACCCCATGTAGGCACAGCGACTATCAGGATACAGGTTAATAGTTTTCCCAGTCCCCAACCGGAGAGCCTCAATAAGAGCCACTAGCTCCGCCGCTTGGGTGGACAAATTAGGGCTGAGTTTAAACTTGTATATTCCTTTGTCCTTAATTACTACTGCTGCTCCGGTATACCGCTTGCCATCTATCACATAGCTGGACCTGTCAACGTACCCTTCAATTTCAGGGTTGGGCCACGGCAAGTCTGAGAGATCAGGGCGGGGTTTGGTTTCCTGTTGCAAGACTTCAATACAGTCATGAGTGGGGCTGGTCTCATGGGAAACCCGAGGATCGGGCAATAGGGTAGCTGGGTTGATGGAGCTAACTGTCCTAAAGGTTAGGTTAGGGGCTAGCAAGAGCCCTACTTCCTATCTGGTATGTCGGCTGGGATTTAAATGCTTTTCCCCAGCGCCCGTCCCCAGTATTTGAGGCACCCCGTGGGGAACCACAACCTCAGTGTCCCCTCCCAGGGTCAATTTTTCAGCCTCCTGTACGAGGAGAGCGGTCGCTGCAACGGCCCGTAAACAGGCAGGCCACCCCTTGGCGACAGGGTCCAGCACCTTTGAGCAGTATCCAATGGGTCGCCAGGTTGGTCCCGACCTTTGGCACAGAACTCCAGCAGCCACCCCTCCCCTCTCATGTATGTATAGAGTGAACGGCCTCCGTGGGTCTGGAAGGGCTAGAGCGGGAGGCTGAACCAAGGCTTCCCAAGGGGGGAGGGATAGCTCAGTGGTTTGAGCATTGGCCAGCTAAACCCAGGATTGTGAGTTCAATCCTTGAGGGGGCCACTTGGGGATCTGGGGCAACATCAGTACTTGGTCCTGCTAGTGAAGGCAGGGGGCTGGACTTGATGACCCTTCAAGGTCCCCTCCAGTTCTAGGAGATAGGATATCTCCATTAATTTTTTTTTTTAGCTCTCGAAATGCTTTTCCCATCTCCCACGTCCAATGGAGCAGACCTTCTTTAGTTAAGGATTCATACAGTGGTTTGGCTCTTGCCCCGTAGTCAGGGATCCAGAGCCGACAAAAGCCAGTCAATCCCAGAAAAGCCCTTAATTCTCGGGGGTGCCGGGGTTGAGGGCTATTAAGTATCACCTGGATTCTTTCTTTACCCAGACTACGACTTCCTTGGCACAAATGATACCCAAGGAAAGTGACCTGCTGCTTAACCAGTTGGGCTTTTTCCTTTGAGACCTTATACCCCTGTGCCCCAAGGTAATTAAGGAGCTCTACAGTTTGCTCTTTACAGGCTGCCTCTGTTTCAGTACTTAAGAGCAAATCATCGCAATACTGGACTATGTTACATGAGGGGTGTCTAGCCAGGAATGGGGCGAGGTCCCTTCTTAACTGGCTGCCAAAAATCTCGGGTGCACAGGTAAGTCCTTGTGGGACAACGGTCCAAAGGTATTGAGCTTTGTAGTGGGTATCTGGGTCCTCCCACTCAAAGGCAAACAGTCTCTGCTATTAACTTGTTAATTTGTCTTAGGTCCTGGACCAACCGATACTGCCCATTAGGCTTAGGCACTCCCATTATCAGAGTATTGTATGGGGACGTGCCTTCCCTGAGCCACCCGCACTGCAGAAAACTTTTGAATCAGAGGTTTTAACCCGATTCTAGTGGTCAGCTTAAGAGAATATTGTCGAATTCGGACCGGGCTGCTTCCTTCCTTAAGGGAAATATGCACTGGGGAAGCATTCCGGGCCCGACTGATGCCTCCCTCCTCCGCCCAAACCTCAAGGTTAACCCCTGACAGCTGGCTCTCTTCATTCCTCCCCCGGCATTCCGGGAAGTGATTTCCAGCGCTTATCAGGGCCATCAGGTAATTGGAGGACTGCTGCTTAGGGAGTCTAACTTCCATAGTCCCTTTATCGAACGAGATTTCTGCCTGCAGTTTAGTAAGAATGTCTCGTCCGAGCAGCGCGATGGGGCAAGAGGGGCTGCAAACGAACTGGTGGGAAATTTGACGGTCCCCTATTTTTACTAGGAGAGGCAAAGTTTTTTCCAAAGCTGTAGTTTGTCCCTCAATCCCCTGGACTATGGCACGTCCCCGAGCTCTATCTCGGGGAGCCTTATTAAGGGGGAGCAAACTAAGAGTGGCCCCAGTATCAATAAGGGCTTCAATTGGGCGGCCCTCCACTTTAATTTTTACCGTGGGATCCAGGCTGGCAGCTTGTGCTGTCAGGAGGGGGCGCTGGGTCCCCCGGCCCCCCTATGGGGAAGACTCCTCCCCTGAACATCCTGTACTGTTGTAAAGGATGGGAAGGGACGGGGTTTTATCTTTACGTTCCTTTCCCATGACCTGTCACCGGGGGCATTCATTCTTCCAGTGCCCCTCTTTCCTACAGATAGCGCACTGATTTCGACCCAGGCAGGGGCCCCGCCCCTTCCCTGGTGGCCCTGGCCGTCCCTTAACTTTGTCCCCCCTTTCTTCATATCCTTCCCTTAGGGCCATGGCTAAAATGCAGGCCCCTTTCTTCCGAGAACGGGGGATTCTGTTGCTTCCAATTATATAGATCACTAGTGGTAAAGGGAACATATACCATAGTGAGATTACCCTCAAGGGCTACAGTTTCCCGCAGTGGACACAAATAATTCTGTTGCAGGGGCCCTTGGAGTACCGGGCCACCCTTGCTCGATGAGCTAATAAGGGTAAACCGAATATCCCCAGGGTTATAGTCAGATGACAAGTTCCACTGCGTTTCGGAGCTCTGAGTGTCACGGGGCCAGTCTTTCTCCTGGTGTGGTTAGACACCTGGGAGCTCAGAGAGATCGGAGGGGGCTCCCGTTTGGAAAAGTCCTGGTCGCTTGGCTCACCCCTTTCAGTTGAGGCATTATCCTCAGAGGAGGGGGTGGGGATTTCAATTGAGGGTACCGGAGCCGGGAGGCCAGGATACAAAGGGGGAGGGGGCATAGGATCAGGGGCAGAGGGAATCACAGCCCGCAGACAAGATTTCTTAAAAGGGGGACAGGGTTTCCTAACAGGGGCACGGGCCATTAAGGTCTTAATAGTTTGTGATTTACATTTCTGTAACCATGGGGGAGGATTGGCTACGAGACCCTGCCAAATATCTATATAGGGATATTGGTCCCAATGCCCATCCCGGGTCACAATGCTATGTACTGCTTGTACAATTTCTGGTTTGAGTGTCCCTCCCTCGGGCCATTCCACTCCGAATGTCATCCATTCAAGAGTACAGAATTTCACAAGATTGTCTTTACATAACACAATTCCATAATCAGCCTGGCGTCTAAACGCCTTCCAGTTATCCAGCATACGCCCCAGGGGCGTACTGGAGAAGGTGTTTTGTCCGGACCCCATTATGCTTTACCCAGGGGTTTGTTCGAGACAGAGGTATCAAGGGGGTTTTAGGGATCTAGTTTTAACTCAGATATCCGCTGGGCCACGAGGTTCGGCTGACCCCCCTTGCAATCAAGATATCCTGGTCACCGGGTTTCCCCTCGCAGGAGTCTTGGGGCGGCTGAAGTCAGTTTAAGCCTCAGACCTGTCAGCAGCACTCACTCATCTTTTACACAGATCCCTTAATCAGTTACAATCTCGATTTCCAACACACCATTAAGAGGAGAAACAAGATTACCCCTCCTATAAACAAGAGTAATCCCTGAGGTTGCTCCAAGTCCCAATAATTGTTAAAAACGGCCCATGGACTTGTGGAGTTAGTTACGTTACTCATTGGCCGTTATTTGCTTAACCTTTAACCAAAAACACAACAACAAGACATTTACAAAGCTACAATAATGTTAATATACCTTCCCGTATACAGGCTGCCTAGGGGATTTCCACCGTCCAACCCACACCTCGGGGGCGTTATTCCTCAAACCCAGGAGGTAAATGCACTTACCGCCCGAAGTGGCCGCGTCCGGCAGTCAGACTTCCCCTTCTTCTGAAGCCGTCTTGCTTCCGTGTCCTTCAGAGTTCTCTTTAGAGAGGACG